CATATATGAAAGAGAATGGTTTTTAGGGCCATATAATTCTACAACTCAACATGATTACTTACAAGATTGTGTTAGCTTGTGGCATCAAACAGAACCACCCTTCTGGTGTCTTTCTTACCACAGCAAAAGTTTTCCTGCTTCTCTCTTAAAAGTAAAATAAAAACACTCTTCACATTAGCAAATCTCCCATTTCAAGTAAATGTCTCTGTTTTGTTTGGTTTTCTCCTTTTTTTTTTTTTTTCTGTTAATGGTTAAACATTTCAATACCCAAGGGTGTTGGTGAAATTCTTACAAATAATCTAAATGTCTTCCCTGCACAACAGAACCTTTGGAAATACCTTCTATATAGTTACCATAGCAGACAGTCAACTCTCAATTACTTAAAAAGTGGTCAACTGGTATAAAAGATCTGACCAGGAAATTCTCACACTTTTTCTACCAGTCTTTTTGGCCATGCTACTGCTTATTGAGGTTGACAAACAACATGAAATAAAACTATGTATTTACTGTGTTACAGGTCAGCCACGAGTCAGTAGCAGAGAAGATCCAAAGCTTCTGATGACAAGGATGCTTGGGGATCATCTGTGAATGTTATATCTCAACGGAAATTTGACAGTCAGTCACGTAAAGGAAGTAACATACACTTACATCAGAGTCAAACTAATTTAAGGCAGTACTGCTCCTCACAACAGTGCTGGCATAAAGTGCAGGTCTCATTGGAAAAGTGACTCTGTAGTACTGAGATTTTTCTCAGTTTTTTTTTTTCTTGACTTCCCTAGAATTAAGTTTCAGCGTTTTTAATGACAGTTGTTAAACACCAGGACCAACAATAGCCTCTGTCTCTTTTCTTTAATACTCTTACCTCTCACCATGGATAAAAGAGATTCTTCCACGAAGAATTTGAATGACATTGTGCCCCATGCAGCATTAACAGGACAGTCTCCAGTTACCTTCTACCTGCCCATATACCTATCATGGGCTAAGAAGAAAAAAGTATTCTATCAACAGTAAGATAAGCAGATATGGCTTTAAGACTCACAGGCACCACCAGAAATGAGAAAATGGGACCACATTTTATATAGTCACTTCTCTATAAGCAGTAAGTAACAGACAAAGTAATTTAAAAATCATTTTTCCTTTTTGCTGAAAGATGAGGTTTTGATTTTGTTATGATTGTTTCTAAGAAAAACTTCTTTTATCAGAATATGGCACTCTATGTACATTGTAATCTACCTTAATACTCTACACAAATACTGCCTTCCCAAAAGGGAAAAAGCCTTTGGCTGCAAGTTCTATTCTAGTCTCAGTTCTTCAGAAAGCTGTTTACACAGAGATGTCACTCCTTATCATCATAGTTATCTTTCAAGAAAATAATCACTAAATAATGAATCATCTTGGTATTCCCCAAAGTGATATTTATACAAAGGCAAGACATTAAAAGTCCAGGACTTAGCCAGGCACAGTGGTTCACCCCTGTAATCCTCGCACTTTGGGAGGCTGAGGCAGGTGGATTACAAGGTCAAAAGATCGAGGCCATCCTGGCTAACAAGGTGAAACCTCGTCTCTACTAAAAATACAAAAAAAAATTAGTTGGGCTTGGTGGCGTGCACCTTTAGTCCCAGCTACTCGGGAAGCTGAGGCAGGAGAATAGCTTGAACCTGGGAGGCAGAGGGTGCAGTGAGCCCAGATGGCGCCACTGCAGTCCAGCCTGGCAACAGAGCGAGACTCCATTTCAAACAAACAAAAATCCAGGACTTAAAATGTTAACCACTTATGTGGTAAACTGAATGCACCATATTATAGTAGGTATTTCAAATTTGGCACAACACAAAATTTAGACAAGATTTGACAGTATTAAAGAAAATTAATAATCAGTTAAAAGCTAATTATTTTTATATTGAAAAGTTTTGACTTTGAGGGAAAGAGATGAGCAACAATCAGCAATGAATTTACTCATCATCTACTTGAGCTTCAGGCCACATTAGAGCAGAAAAGGGGGGGGGTAATGAATTGGGTCCAGAATTTTATAGAGTGAGTTCAGTAAACATAAAGCCCAAGGTCACACGTTTTAGAGTATGCTGACCTAGATCCAGGTGGTCATTGCCATTCTACAAAGGTTTTCCTCCTAGGAGCATCTATTCATATCTTTCTTTTCTAAGTTAGCTATTTCTCTATCACTGAAAACACCTAGGGTTATTTTTCATTTTCTGTTTTTGTAATTTATTGGTATGCTCTTGGTGGTTGTAAAGTAACTTGAGAAATAGTTATAGTATGCAAAGCCACTTTCTGAAAATCACAATGTTCCTTTAAATACATGTAAACAACTGTCCAGTTCCAAAATAAAATACTTTAGTCTAATAAAATACTTATGTCTAACAGTGGTTTGAACACAAGAGTCAAATATTTTTCAAGTCAAAACATTTAATCTGACTCTTATCTAACTTCACTTCCAAACAATGATTTATAAAAGGTAGAGGAGAGTGGGTGTCTATGTCAAGCAGCCTTATGATAAGGCTCCATAACATATTTTGTTTATTCAACAATACTGGTGTTAACGAGGCCTGGCCTCCAAAGAACAAAGATACAGAAACAGAAACGTTTTCCAAGGCCAGAATTATTAGTTTACATCACAACATTAAATCATTACTACATTATGGGCCTAAAAATTAAGCTGCGTGTGTTCGTTCCAGCAGCAACAACAACAACAAAAAATGCTTCCACATTTATATAAAAATGACAAAGTAAAAAGCAGACAACACAGTGAAGAGTGTCTGGCAGTTCATTAAAATACAGTTGAGTTGCTTCTATAGTTTCAAACATTATTACATTACTTGCATGAGAAAGAATAAGAGGATTTAACTGGCTGAATTTCATTTCTATCTCCTTATTCATAGGGTAATATTTACTCTGATATTCTTTAAAAAGTGTTTGCTTTACACAAAAATAAAATAAACATAAAAGATTTTAAAATCGTAATCTTTTAGAAACCTTGAAAAAAAGTAACAAATTTTCAATAAACATGTTGAATTAGCTATCACAAGGGAAATACCACCTTTGGTCACTTACTAAGACAGCTAAAACACTAACATTCTGGTTAAGTGTTAAGTGGTGACATTTTTTTTTTAATTAAGTATCTCCCGTTAACATTTGACAATAATAAATATAACTGGATGAAGTATGTGAGAGGCAAGAGAAACACTGAATTTTTAAAATAAAACTGATCGTAGTACAAGATAGAAAAATAAATATTTATGAAATAAAAAACGGCAAATGATTTTGCCTAGTTATCAAATAAAAATACACTGTTATTTCCTTTAAAATTACCATAAAAAACTTTGAAGGACATGAAGCAAAATCACAGGGCAGATAAAGAAAAATATAGCATTACTATAAGTAAATAAGGCCTAAGCTTTGGATGTTGAAACCACTATCCAGAATTTGACTTAAGGCCAGGACCTACCATTTTGTCTCCCCTTCTGTATTTAAATGGAGGTTTTTCTTTAGGCGTTTTATCATAGCTATAAGAAGTCCTGTTTTTTTCCTTTTCCTCCATTTCTCCAAAATGACATCACTTAGGGATGCAGACTATCTTTCTGATTAACATTTACCTAAAACTTAACTCATATGATTTTATTTAAATTCCTACAATACATAAACTTTATTAAATTAAAAATCTTTCTCAAAATGAGATACCCAAATCCACTCTGAGAAACTCTCCTAAACAGCTTCCTGAATATTGCCCAACTTTAAAAGCTATCTGAAAAGGTAAGGCAAACAGAAGGCAGTTCCCAGTGGGAAAAAAATTAACATGTTCTCTAGTCATCTATATATTTCCTTCCTAAACAAACGCCCTACTGAAATGCCAAGAATTTCAGATTTATACAATAAAAGATAATAGCAAGTCAAGCTGAAGGGAGATGTGTGTGTGTGTGTGTGTGTGTGTGTACACACACACGGAGTGGGGAGAGAGAGAGGAGGAGAACAAGTGAGCTTGATTGCCATTTGTTATTTAAGGAGGAGAACAAGTGAGCTTGATTGCCATTTGTTATTTAAGTAGTATAGGGAAATAAATATTGCAGTAAGGTTAGCAGCTACACAAAAACTAAATTTCTTGAAGAGGGGCTTAAAGATCTTGTAATAATAATGATTATACAAAGGAATACAATCCCTTGCATAAAGAAATACAAATGTTTAAAACCAAATACTTGGCTGGCTGGACACAGTGGCTTACACCTGTAATCCTAGCACTTTGGGAGGCTGAGGCAAGTAGATCGCTTGAGGTCAGGAGTTGCAGGCAGGCCTGGCCAACATGGTGAAACCCAGTGTCTACCAAAAATACAAAAATTAGCTGGGCGTGGTGGCACGTGGCACATGCCTGTAATTCCAGCTGCTCCGCAGGCTGAGGCAGGAGAATTGTTCCAGCCCAGGAGGCATAGGTTGCAGTGAGCAGAGATTGCACCACTGCACTCCAGCCTGGGTGACAGGGCAAAATTCCATCTTAAAAAAAAAAAAAATAACCCACCAAATACTTGAATAAATAACCACTTTATCAAATTCAAATTCATGTTGAATTAATCTAATTATTGGCAAATAAACGGAACATTATTGAGAGGTTGTCAACAAATACTGCAATGACTTTAAGCAAGAGAAAAACCTTACTCTACAGCCAGAGAGATGGCTGGCGTCATCACTTATGCAATCATTTTTCAATTCCATTTCCTTGGCTCTACACTATAAGTAAATGAAAAACAAAAGAAGAGATACAAAGTTATTCATATATCTAAGTTAAAATTTCAGTGACCTAAATTTTTTCAATAAATATTAATAAATGGTCCATTGCCCAGGGGTTTCAGAAAGCCTTGCTACTGAGGGAAAGGCAGAGTGTTAAAGAATGCTATCTAGGCCAATTTCCCCAGGAGGGCTGAGACGGATATGCAAAACCTCTACGGTCCATCTAGTCAGAATAACATACTTCAATTGCTCTAAGTGTTTCTTTTTTTAAAATACTTTATGGTTGTGATTTTCTTTTCCAAAAGAGTACAAAAAGCAAAAGCTCTGTCCTTCAAAATATCATACACTAATGCAACAAAAAGCTATTTGTTATATTCCTTTATTCTGCGTTGCACCCAAACATTGTTTTTACTTTGATCATTCATCTCCATAAAATTTGAATTGCTAAATAAGGCCTACTCCCTAGATACCAAACTTCTATACCTAACAAAATGGCAGCTTACAGAGATCTTAGATACTATATCCCAGGATGTATATGCAGCATAGAGGTGGCCAATATTCAGAAGCTACATTTTCTCATACTGCCCAAGTGATCATGGATAACCAAAACATTTGAAATGAATTAAAATTATTTATGGTCAGAAATATATGCTTGAGGATAAATCCCAGGAATGCAAACACAGATGAAAAAAAATACGTGTAGAATTCATTCGGTATCACCCAGTAATATTTGCTAAAGTGAGTCCATTTTCAAGGCAGATTCTTAGGTTTTTAATGCTTGTAATGAAAACCTGGGGAGGGGAAGAAAAAAGGAAACACAATTAAGGAAAAACTTTTGAAACTCAGACAGCTTTTTCTCCCTGCCCCAGCAAAATAACTTTATTTCTATACAATTCTAATAGTACTTGTTTCTTGATTCTGACATATACACAGAATCAATGTGTTATTTTAATATCATGCATCAAATGTACGTCAAGGACAGTACAAAAGTACCCCCCTCAAAAGGTGACACATATATAGTTTGAGAAAGAAAAATACGAGCTATTTTGTTAAATCAGGAACAGTGAAAATGCCACCAGTTGATGAAAACTGAGGTGGAATGTTTTGATGAAGATGTTTATAATGTCCAACTATCCTCCTTTTGTCTTTTTCTCAGTATCGAATCAAAGTCAGAATGGGGGGAGGGAAGCTTTCTTAAAAATGCAAATGCTTGACAACCTCCATCCAGAGATGCTGATTTAAGTAGTCTAGAGTGTCATCTGTGCAATGGTATTTTTAAATGACAGCAGAAAACGTAATTTAAAGAAATTTCAGGACATTGTTATTAGATTTGGAAATGACTAACAATACCACCTAAGTCTTCAAAACTCATAACCAATAAACAGCATCAATAAGATCTAATATAGTTGCAAAGTCTACTGCACTCTGCAAGCTTCTTTTACATATTTAACCTTTAATGATTCTGACAACTCTGACACTTTCTATTTTGACTGCCTCCATTTTGCAGATGAGGAAATTAACATAAGAAGCTACCTTTTCACCATTTCATTTTACAACTCATAAAATTGTACATAAGTGAATGCAGATCCTTGCAAGAACAAATACAACCCAACTGTTCCTTCTGTCTGAGGCATTTGAACCAGAGCAACTCCATCTTGAACAGGGGCTGAATAAAACAGGGCTGAGACCTACTGGACTGCATTCCAGGAGGTTAGGCATTCTCAGTCATGAGATGAGACGGCACAAGACACAAGTCAAAAAGACCCTGCTGATAAAATAGGCTGTGGTAAAGAAGGTGGCCAAAACCAAGATGGTGACAAATCTGAACTCCGGCTGTCCTCACTGCTCATTATATGCTAACTATAATGCATCAGCAGCATGCTAAAAGACACTCCCAACAGGGCCATGACAGGTTACTGATGCCATGGGAACATCCAGAAGTTACCCTATATGGTCTAAAACAGGGAGGAATCCTCAGTTTCAGGATTTGCTCACCCCTTTCCCAGAAAACTCATGAATACTACACCCCTTGTCAGTATATAATCAGATAACCACAAAAATGGTCAGCCAGTAGCCCACACTGCTGCTCTGCCTATGGAGCAACCATTCTTTATTCCTCTACTTTCTTACTAAACTTGCTTTCACTTTAGCGATTCCCCTAGAATTTTTTCTTACAGGAGATCCAAGGATTGGGACCCCTTTCTGGTAACACATTTTAAAGGTTTCGTCCAATTTAGGTATCTATATTTTTTATTTGCTTTGTCCCATTTTTCTTTTGCATAAAAGTTATGTGGGAGGTATGCATGCATATTTTAAATCTAATTGAGTCATACGCAGATAGGAAACAAGAGCCACTACAGAAAATGCTAAATGGAGGTCACAATCACCCTTTAAGAATCTGGTCAAAGAGCCTGGTGCAGCGGCTCACGCCTGTAATCCCAGCACACTTTGGAAAGCCGAGGTGGAAGGATTACTTGAGTCCAGAAGTTCAAGACCATCCTGGGATGACATGGTAAAACACCATCTCTACAAAAAGTACGGAAATTAGCTAAGCATGGAGGCACGCACCTGTAATCCCAGCTACTTGGGAGGCTGAGATGAAAGGATCACCTGAACCCGGGAGGTGGAGGCTGCAGCGAGCCGAGATCATGCCACTGTACTTTAGCCTGGGAGACAGAGTGAGACTCTGTCTCCAAAATATATACATATATGTATGTATGTATGTATGTATGTATGTATGAATCTGATGAAAGCTGTTGCGTTCTTTGTAGAGGAACATGTAAATACACAGAATATCTTACATTCAATTTAGGGTGCTCTGTTTTCTGTCTTTTTTTGTTACTGTTTTAATAAATGACAAGTGATATAACAACCTGCTGAGGGGAGAATAACTTATTTTTCCACCCTAGCGGTCAGAACACAGAATTTGATGTTTCCACTATAACATGAGGCTTGTAATATATTATATATAAAAGATCCTAAACTTGACCATACATACTCTCCTTACCTTTATGAGAGGACTCTGATTTTGGGAAATGCCGTGTGGAACTCTGCTGGTTTGTAAAATGAGTGTAATCCAAATCTTCACCATCTGTCATGATAGGTGGTGGTGGCCTAAAAGGAAGCCAGAATTTAAAGAGGCATTCTAAGTAATGCTTTACTACAACGCCGCCTTTCACTGGACTGAAAGTTAAAAACATTTTCTGATGAAATGAAAATCCAAAATGCTTCAGAATTCACATTGTAGCTCTTGGACAGTTGCATGACCTTGAATAAATTATATTACTGTTCCTTTGTTTCGATGCATATCATTCAATTAAAACAAGTAACTCCTTAACAACTAATGCATGTTAGGAACTGTGCTAGATAAAGATTAGTGAGATGTGACTGCTGCCATTTATAAGAAATACTCTTTTTCTTTACCAAGTAAAAGAAAAAAGAAGAGAATAAAGAACAGAAAAGAAGTAATAAAGTCAAGGAAAAAAGAGGAAGGTAGGAGACAGACAAGGAGGGAGGCAAGGGAAGCAAATTTCATGAGTAACGTTCCTTTATCCACTAGGTGGCAAAACAGATCTTAATACATTTGCAACTTCAATGCAATACATTTCAACATTTTATGGCAAAAAAAAAAATGTTAAAAAAAAAAAAGATAAAATTTTTACTAAACTTTTTATTAACTACTCAGTACTGACTTATGCAAACGTGGCATTGAAGCAGAAAACCTCTCATTCTTTTTCTTACTTCCCAAAGGTGTACTCAAAGTTTGCACTAAAGCATAACATGAGATTAAGATTTATCAAATGTACAGGCCATTTTGCACAATTATATGTAAAATACAGAAGGCATAAGTATTCTGAGGTTTGTAAATTTATAGTCGGTTTGGTACAATGGGCTCTGTCATGTAAAAATAAGAGCAAATGTTTTCAGATTTTTTTATCTTGTCCCTAAGCAGTAAGTCTTTCCCTGGATGTATTCAGCAGCCAGAAGAGGTCAGCGTGGGATGTAAATTGGTATATGTACTGAGGACTATGCTACAGGTTCTACACAGATTATCTCAATTAACTTTCAGGACAAGTGTATATGCTATCATATACATATTTCAGAGTCAGATTAGGTTAGATAAGGTAAATGATCTGTCCATGTTCACACAGCTGTTAAGTGGCAGACCCAGGCCTCAAACTCAACTGGATTTTAAAACCAGTGTTCATAACTACTCTATTATGCTCTACTACATAGGTGTATATTTTTATGAGGAGCTGCATCATCTGCATACAAGACTATATGTATATGAGTGCATTTGCATCTTAGATTTCCATAAGTACACTTTCATATGTATCTGTACTTATACTTTCAAATATCATTTCATGCATTTGTTATACGCATATAAGTAATGTGAACACAGTGAATAATGTAGTAGTTTTCTTATTTTTATTTTTAAACCATTTGTTTATAAATATTGGAAATTAAATGGTGTTTTTCTCCAATACTGACATTTATAATTCCTATCTTTAAAAAATAATGTAAGACTTGGTAGAAAACCTTTAGGATTAAAGAAATTAGCTTCGAAGAGCAAATAAGTGTCTTAGGAAGTGACTCAAGACCAAAAAAAACAGGGGTGGTAATTAGAATGATCCAGTCTGCCCTTCACTCTTTTATTAATGTCATTAGGCAGTCAAAAAATCAGAAAGACAGAAGATGGACTCACAAAAACAATCCATGATTATTGCCTCACCATCAACTCATATCATCAAGGAAAAGTATGCTAAAGTTATGAAACAAAGCACAGGATATGCCCACAAGTCTTCTAGCATGTCCATGTAAAGATAAACAAATCAATCTAGAATGTCTTCAGTTCTCTTAAGTGTTCTCATAAGTTCTGTTCAATTTCCGGTTATGCAGAGAACAAATCTTGGTTTACTGCTGTCAGGAGTCCTAACAAATTATTTTGTTACACCAGAGACAATTGTTTTAAAGTTAAGGACATTTAAGTTCAGAGTTAGAAAAATCTTACTAACCAACACTTTATTTTATAGTTTTATTGTATTAAGATTGCCTGTTTCCTACTGTTCTCATGAAATAATTTACACCTTTACCTTAAGAATATAGCCAAACACTTTTCGGAATTCATTTCTTTAAGAAACCCTCCTAGACACCTAAACCAGGATGTCTCCCCATGTTCTTATCATCTTGTATTTCTCATTCACAGCACTCAACACAATCAAAATAGTTACTTGGATAATTATTTGTTTAGATTATAAACTCCTGAGAACATGACAGAGTTCATTCTTACTGATTGACGTGTACCCCAATTATGCGTGAGCCAATTATTAGGGTGCTCAATAAATACCTGATAAATAAATGGAGACAAACGTATTTCACATTCATAAGGATGCACAAGGAATAAAATGAGATTTATAAAATATTTAATTTTTCTAAGAAAAAAAATCCAAGTAAAATAACAAATAATATTACCAGTATAAAACCATGTAGTTGAAACAATCTGGAATTCAGATTGCTAAGTTATTCTCTATTTCCTTATAAACAGTGAAAAACTTCTTTCAACAGTGTTTTGTAGTTCTCCTCACAGAGACCTTCACCTCCTTGGTTAGAAGTATTTCTAGGTATTTTGTGTGCGGTTATTGTAAATGGGATTGAGTTCTTGATTTTCAATTCTCAGCTTGAACCTTACTGTAATATAGAAATGCTACTGATTTTTGTTTTTGTTTCCTGAGACTATGCTTAAGTTGTCTGTCAGGTCTAGGAGGTCATAGATGACATAATTAAATAGAAAAGCACTCTATGCTCATGGGTTGGAAGAATCTGTGTTATTAAAATGTCCATACTACACAAAGCAATCTACAGATTTGACAAATTCCTATCAAATTACTAATGTCATTTTTTTGGAGATTTTTTTTAAAAACCTATTTAATTCACATGGAACCGAAAAAGAGCCACATAGCCAAGGCAATCTTAAGCAAGAAGAACAAAGCTGGAGGCATTGCATTACCAGATTTCAAACTATACAAGGCTACTGTAACCAAAAAGGCATGGTACTGGTACATAACCTGACACAGAGACCAATGTAACAGAATAGAGACTCCTTGAAATAAAGCTGCACACCTACAACCAAGGGATCTTTGACAAAGTTGACAAAAATAAACAATAAGGAAAGGACATCTTACTCAAAAAATGGTGCTGGGAAAACTGGCTGACCATATCCAGAAGAATGAAACTAGACCCATACCTCTCACCAGAGACAAAAATTAAGATTGATTAAAGTCTTAAATTCAAGACCTTAAACTATAACATTTTAGAAGATTCTAACCAAAAAGTATATATTCTGATATTAGTTGTGCAAGGTATCTACATATGGCAAGATATATAAGCTTTAATTGTTAACTATGAAAATACAGGTTTCATAAAATTCTTATTTTTTGTTTTGTCATATATACAATCCTAAAGTGACACTTAAAGACACATACTCCACTGAAGTAAAAACAAAAATTTCTGCTCTACTAGCTTTAAGTCACTTTTCATTCATTTACAATAGCCATTTTTAATACAGGATCATTTAATTATTCACTTTCAATATGCCAAATATTTCTAAAGTATCTATCACATTCCAAAAACTTGTTTCAGACTTTAATAAACCATCTTAAGAAACCATCCAAGACTGTTCCATCATATATGCTGTCAACAGTATTAGTATTCTAAAGAAGCCATGGATTTGAAGACTGCAGAATAAGCCTCAGGATGATTTAAATTCATTTGACTAAAAAAGGAATAATAATCCAGATGTATGTACTTACTGAGAACAGATTAGCTGCTGCTTCTTTTACTTGGATACTTTAGGAATGTACTAACCTATATAGTTCTAAAAAAAGGTTTGGCAGGTGCTTAACCAAAAGCTACAACAGAAACAGATTTTATATAACTAGACAGAATATGCCACTATTGTTCTCAGAGCAATACAAATCCAATGTAATTTGCTGAAGGGTTTTTATCTTCTGAAAGCAAATGAGTTTTAAAATAGAGGATTAGTTTCTAAGGACACTAAATACACTCACTAGAAGGAAACAAATCTAGGAGCTTAAGTGTGGGCAATGAGTGGCACCAATAGTGTCAATTATTCAACGAAATAAATGTTACGTTTTAAGAATTATAAATATTACTAATCAGAAACAAAATTCAAATTTGAATAATTCTGAGTTTTCAAAATGTTAAATTTAGTATTACTTCTTTTTGTTTTTTAACGTTTTTTTCTTCACATTCCAATCATGTTTAAGGCAACCAAAAGCAATTTTTGTAAAAAAAGGTTACTTCCAAAGAGACTTAAATGTTGACAACTTGAGGCAGAAAGACAACAGCTGCTCCATAACTATTACCCATGACTGTTTGGGATAAATCAGAAAGTATGTACACCATAGCCACAGCTATTTGTCTAGTGGGATTTAGACAGTCTGCAAGGATTCAAGATTTTGTCAAGGACACTGAGATTCACAAAGAAATGAGTTTGAGCATGTGTAAATGTCATGGACACATCAGTGTGGCTATAAAACCCAGTAGAAATTTAAAACATGAAATTTTACTTAGGAAAAAGATCACTCTCCTTCTCCAAGCTAAAAGCCTAACTTCAGTGAACGCAGAGTTAAGAATTAGTCCTAACAAAAAGTTACGTCCTTCCTTATCCACCTCAACTTTTGTAAAATATCTGATTTGATGTGTGCAACCCAAGACAGAAAATAAAGTTTGAAAATAACCCTGAAGGTCTTGACACTACCTCACAAATGCAGACTTTTGGATCTTTTCTCCAAAATACAAATACTCTTCTCAGGCACCTGTCATCTCCTTACTCACCCCGAAGTCAACTTCCTCATTTTCCTTTTCAGGTGTCATCTTACCGTGCTGGCCTTTCATTCTTAGAACGATGAGATTCATCACTCTCTTTTGACTTTGAATGTGTTGCTTTAGCTGTTTTTGGCTATAGACAAAAATACAAACAAACAAAAATAATGCACACAGACAACCCAGAATCATCAAACAAAGAGACAGATTAGGTTTAGAAAGTATGTTAATCATGCCAAGCTCTCCCTTAGTAATTTCAGATTAATTATATTTAGTTGAACAATATAAAATATTTTTATATATGGCCACTGAGAGGTATAAAACTTATAGTCACAAAGGTATACTTTGGACCTACATGGAAGGTGTGTTTAGCCGACTCATCTGACAGCCTTTGAGCAGCCAGAGAAATGGGTTAAACACACATAAACACACTTCCCTACTGCTTGGCCACTGATTATTAACATAATACCTACATAGCAGCTGACAAGAACTAGGGGACGCCCAGAGTCTACGAAATCCAGGTTTGTACACTCAAACTTACTTCCACACACCTGGTCTTAGGCTGATTTCCAGCCAGTCAACTGAGGCAAATTCAAGTCCACTTTTCCAAGAGTGGAAATGTACTGGCACTAGTTATAAAATAAAAATTACAGAAGCCATGGTACTTGCTAGAGATGTGGCCATTGCCCTCTGACCTGCTTGATATGTAATCCTTCTCTTTCCTAGTTAAGGTAGCAAAGAATCTGAGTAACTCCTGGGCAATTATGTGTGGCATAATTTATTTAACAGAAGTATTTGGGAATCGTTAACTAAAACAATATTTTAGAAAAAAATCCTGAATTACTGAACTAGGTAAAAGAGAGAGCTAAATACATATAATCCGTATGAGAATAATACATTCATTGTTTTTAGACTAATACGTGGGTAACTGAGCAACAGGAAAGAGTACAGCAATACTATTAGCAAGGTTTCTACACCTTCTTTTTCCTCACAACCATTACTGAGACTATGAAGTGGAATCAGAAACCCAATGGAGGAATTTGTTCAAGAGGGACCAGTGCTAAACACCAACTGCATCAGGTATACACAACGTAGGTTTTGTTCTTCTGGGTCTACCATAAACTCCCTCCTTAAAAATCCTGCATTGTACGAATTCTGTCCCTATTTGTCTGCTCTATTCCCACCTAGTTTGACCTTCTATTTGTTAGCTGTCTACACTTTGTCTTCCTCTCTAAATTATACACTACTATCAGGAAAAATTGTCTTTCCATGTAGTTCCAAAGTGTTGCCTTGTGCGCTGTCACTGATGAGTAAAATCTGCTAAACTGAAACTTCCAACTACGGCATACAGTATAAAATTATAGCAAAATGAATTGCAGTAACTACTTATTTTGTCCACTATTTCTGATCAATGAGGGGAAAGGTAACAGTCCAAATTTATGCTAGATAGGTCTTTCACTGTGACATAAGTAATAATTGTTGGTGATAAGTATGTATATTTCAGTCTGCCACAAACCACATTACGTCAAAGGCAAGAGAAACAAGTACATGATAGAGATGGAAGATAATATAAACACAAAGGGCAGAGAGGGGAAGATAAGGTCATTGAGGAAAATATGAAAGCATGTGAAAATGCTACATTCTTCTATAATCAAAGTACTGTATATGAAAACTAAGACTGTTCATGACCAGAAGCACTTGCACTTCAGTCGGTCTTAAAGGGAATAGAATGAGTTTTCAATCTTAGCAGTAACTTTTTACATAGTTATTTTCAAACTTCAGTGATTTTTCATGGTGATGCAACCTTCACAAATCAGATTCACATACGCAATACAGATAATTTATATATCCATATATCCTAAATATATTTGCAGAGTTTAACTTAAAGGAAAAGTCCCCTTTTCATTTCTTATTTCTAATTAGAAAACAAACAAAACATACTCTACCTTCCACTCAGGGTCTTGCTTTCTTTTGTCCAAAGATGATTTCTCCCGCTCCTTGGCTTTTTTATAAGCTTTCTTTTCTTCCGCCATTAGAAGTCGAGCGATTTCCTAAACAAAATACAGTCAACATCACTAATTGCAGAGCTGCAGACAGAAATATACGGGGATATTTCCAAAGAATTATCAGCTAAATTCATTAACTTACTTCATCTTGAGCTACTTGAGCGGCTCTCATGTCCACCTGGGTAGCCTATGATTATTGAAAATACAAAAACAAAGAATTTAATTGGAATCTATGTTGCCTATTTTTAATATCTTGTATATAATAAGCTGGTTTATGAAAATAATTGTGATTCATGTTCCTGAGGTTGATAATCAGTTGGTATGCTTTCACCAGCCAGAGCAGGAGCTCTTTTTATCAAATCCTCCAACAGGGTCATGGAGAACAATCATGGAGAGACGGGGCTATGGACTTCATTGTTAATCCTTACTCACCAAGCAAAACTGGATAATTCTATTCCGATTGCCTTGATTTTTCCACTCATAAAAAAGGCTTCTTAATTGATAGAGGACTATTAATATAATCTCAAGACTGGCTGAATTCAGAAAAAAAAAATATCCATCAATATAGCTAAACTTTTGCCTTAAAATGTGCTCACCAGAAGTTCTTCTTCTTGTAGTTTTCTGGCAATTTCAGCATCATACCATTCCTGATCCCTGTGGGTCACTCGTGATGCAGTAGATATAGCTTCTTTTGTTGTTCTTGGCTTCATTCCTTTTAAAAAAAACAAAAAACCTCAATGTAATAAAACAACTGAGAATGTTTTCAGAGAAGTTACAAAATTTAAGATAGAGAAGATTTTCTTTAGTAGCTAACAATGACAATATTACCTCTACTCCAGAATTCAGTGTGGGGTGCACTTAAAATATTTTTTTGCCCTAGGAATGGAAGTGGCAATGTAGATAATGCATACATTTAAACAAAGATATCTAACCAAACCTGCCTGGTAAAAACTCCCCTCTCACATAGTTTTTGCAACAGCAGAAAATTATGTAAGTTGCAAGTGAGGACCTGGAAAATACAAAGTGAAAAAAAAAAAGTCACTGAAAATAAAAAGAATTTAAAGAAAAGCAAATTACAGAGTCAGAGTTTAAAAGAAGCTAAGCTGTCAAGGATGGAGGGGAGGAAAGGCTTCCTCCCATTTACCTCAGCCTGCATACTTATTACTTCAGAAGGAACAGAAACAGCATCACCTGGTAGTCATGTGATGACACCTGTTAGCCAAGCAGTGGCCCTACCATGGCTTTTGCTCTGAGAGTCAATAAACCACTTACTTTAGATCTTCCCCACAGCTTTGATCAGATTGATGGCACTGTTAAATTTTAGGGACAATATAACATAAGAGCTATATTGAGGGCACAGTGACCTCAGAGTTCTCTTCCAATTTATTCCTATAAAGCAATTCTCGCTTTAAACTTTTACTCAACAGTGTGAGTGTATTATATTCAGAATTAATAGAAATTTTGAATACAGTAAACAAGATTACTCATCTGAAATAGTTCATTTCAGTAAATTAACTATTCAAAGGAGAAGGAAAATGTACTCCTGATTGTCTGTCTGTCTATACCAGAGGCTGTCAACCAGGGCTATATAGCAGAATCACATGAGGGTGCTTTGAATACATATAAAAAGATCTGTCCCAACCCCCAGGGATTCTAAGTTAAGTGGCCTGGGTGTAACCTGTCCTTGGGTAAGTTTGTTTTAAATCTTCCCAGTTGATTCTTACTTGCAATTAACATTGGAATCACTGGTTTAATGTATTATGTCCATTAAAATTACTATAAATTAAAATAATTTTTATAAAAATGTTTCACATTTGACTCACTTGCTATTAATTTTTGTAAAAAGGAAAGAAAATAAAATACAATTAAATACTGGGCAAATGATGAGAATTTAAGTATTCTGTGAAGCCTATTTCTGTACAACTTTCAACCTGGCTTCTGTGGCTTCTGAAGCCATAGACTCAACATCTGTCTTTCCTACAAAGACAGACTAGTAAACCTGGCTTTCTTAGCTTCAGACCTAATAGAACCTGATTGCACAGACCACTTCAAATCATCTCTACAGCTACAGAGTCTTATGCTAGGCTGGGCTTAATCTAGATTTCCGAGTGGTTTGCGACAGCAAAACAAACAATGGCATACTCTCAAGAGTGGACCATCTGTAAACAGAATATAAATCTCCCTGAGTTATTTAGCTTAGTCACAACTAGGAAAATTTCAGAAAAAATGAAATTAGATAAGGAACTCAGTACTGGGCAATGTCAGTGGATAAGAGAGTCTGCCATACACACACACACACACACACACACACACACACACCCACACCCACACCATATTCCAATTTACAGAAAAAAACGCTAGTTGAATAAGCAGCCCAAAGCCTAATTAAGGATTATGGAACATGCCTAGCTCCTTCACTTTTGCCATCAGTGAAATAATAGAGTGGAACGTGCTCAAATTTCAAGAGACCAAATTTTCTCCACTATTATGCCTCCTAAGGTAAACCACAGAATTAGCCAAGAAGATATTTCACTTTAAATTTTATTAAAGACACATTGTTTTAAATTCTGCCAAAGACAAGATTCCACTGAACAGTCTAATTGGTTTGACAGGGTGATAAGACTGTAACCTCTGGCAGTTAAAAAGAGAATGATGACTTAGTAAGAGTCAGAATCTGAAGGAGTATCTCTCAGTTCCAAATATTTAGAGGGGAAACAGTTTATTTAAACCCTTGATGTATCGCTGGAATGTGTACATCTCATTAAGCAGAAAATTCCCACAGCTTGGAATACTAAATTTCTGCATTGTCAGGATGCCCATTCTCTGCAGTGTCCTCTAGACCTAAGGTGACAAGAATTTTTTTAAGGATATAGAAAAAAAAAAACTCAAAGATAGTGCAGTGTAAGGCCATCATTTAAGAAAACAAAGAAGTCTAAAAAGTTTTTTAATGTAATTAACTGAAGGAAATTAAGGAACGAGTTTCCCGAATCTCAGTATGCTAAACAGACTCTGGAAATTAGCTTTCAAAAAATCGAGTGAGTGGTATTTTCAAGTTCCATATATATCTTTATGTAACACCTCCTTGCCTTTTTCTGTTCATCATCCTTCGGTTTGAGAACACAAGAACATCCCTAAATGTACACAAAACTTCAACCTTAAATAAATTTACAGAATAAAATTGTTTAAGTATTGATATCAAGATAACTTTATTCTGAGCTTGGAATAAGGTAAAATAATAGCTTCTTTTTTATATCATGTAAGAATATTTGTAATAAACCAGCCTGACATTTAGGGAATGTCAGTATATTTGACTAACAATTCACAGCAGAACAGTGCAAATATTTTATGGCCCTGTGAGTTTAGAAGTTAACCTGCAGAAAATGATAAGCTGTTAAGAATTTATAATCTAATAGAGATGTAACTCTGAAAGGTTAGGTACCCACTGCCCTGGAGAAAGTTACCTATTTTATACTTAATTTAAAATTTTATTTTGCGTTCCTTTTCAGCTGATTCTATTAATGCTGCTCTCTGCAAACGCTCTTCGAACCAGCTCCCTGTCATCCTGATAGTTTCTTCATTATTAAGTTAAATATTACTTTGGTCTGTCCTAACAACTTTAAGAACTATGCTTTTACAACCGCAAGAATAGATGCCACTACCAGTAATTATATTATAATGTAATCCTCTGATCTAGTCCAGTGAGTTACAAAATCAAATGCCTACAAAGGCTAGCAAGGTAAAGTGTAAAAAGCAAGCTGAATATAAAATGATAGACGGGAATCAGCTCGTGTTGTAGTCATTTTAATATCTGCCTGGTAGCACTGTTTTTCAATCCCTTGTACTGGCAAAATAAAAAGCAAAACAAAACATTTGCAATTCCAGTAGTGGAGCCTGTGAGTCAGTGTTTAGTGTCAAGCTTCCTAAGCCTATTTAAAATATCCTGGGGCATAACTAAAAGCCATTAAAGCCTACCTAGCCTTCAGGGCACTCTTGAAAGTCAGATTCACAGAAGCAGAACCCTAAAGGTCAGTGTACAACCATTCTTCCTCCATATTTTCCCCACACCTTTGGAAGTCCAAAATGTCTTTCTAAAGCTGAAAATGGTATAACTTCCTCATAAACCTACTCAAGATAGCTTATATCATACTTTCCTCTATTTTTCCACAGCTCTTTGTTAAAGTCTCCCTAACTAAGTGTATCTTATTTGGAATTGTTTACATACCCATCTTTTTGGTTGAAATCCAAGTACAAAACCTAAGACAAGAATATTTGTGGCAGCTACTCAGAACGGCTTCATGAACTAAATTTTAGTTTTCTGCCTAACCACGTCCTTTAAATAACATGACAGGAAAAGCCAACTTCACCCGAATCTACAACCTAGAAACAAGTTCTCCGACCACAAATAGAACTTGACTGGCTCCTTGGTATTATGATTTCTAGTGCTACATCCACATACATGGAAAACATCACTTCAGCAGTTTATAGAAAACAGAGCCATTACTGTGTCAATGATGGACTTCTGAGTTAAGCTTCAGGAGTGCCAGAAATTTGAGGGTTACCTGTAATATTTACCTCATTCCTATATAGGTACCAAGAACTTACCTGTACTGACACTTTAGAACACCTACTGTGGAGTTAGAGCTGGAGAAAGTGAGAGCATAAAAAGTAACTTACTGCAATGACTTTAAAGTTCCTAAGAATCTACCTCCAGATCTAAAACATGCCCAAACTGCCAGGCCTCACTCCAGAGATGGTAACAGATGTGAAACCCAGAAATTTCCATTTCTAGCTAACAGCTGATTTTGATGAAAATGAACCGAGACATATTATTTGAAAAATACTTTCTTAAAAGACTGCCTATCCAACTCCTCATTTTACAAATGAGAAAGATGAAGTCTAAAAAACATAGTATTTCCAGCTCTATTAGCCTTTTGGTTAGGCAAATACTATCAAGACAGGCTCATCAGCTCTTCTGGGTTCACTGAAGTAAAACCAGAAATTCAGGAGTTTTGATTTAGTATCAGAATCTTTGATATGCAGTCTTGGGAAATGAAGAACTGTATCTGGAATGGTTACCTCTAATACAACCTGGGCCTGGAAGAACTCTCGAAGGAATCAGTGCATTCTCACACAAGGGAAAAGTTACAAATATTTTCCTGCCTCTTACAGACCTGAGATTAAGTGTGTACCTTTTATAATATATTGCTCTAGGATTCGTTTCAAAGTCATGAGCACAAACTTGAGAGAAAGAAAGGCTGCTTAAGATACTTATTAAATTCATTGGTTTGCAGGTATAAACATGATACCAGGACTTCCATCATGACTGTCCTCTTTTACCTGGGTCGTGGAGGTGGAGCTGCTTCTCACGCTCTGAGAATGGAGGAGTCCTGGGCCTGTGGCTCCTTTTTCTGTGCTCACCTTGCCCATGGTCCCTCCCATATACAATTTCCTTGCAGTGAAGCCCTGTTTTTTGTGAGGGCTTGGGTGAAAGTCGGTCTTGGTGTTGAGAATGTTTTTCCCAATTTCGAGTCTGATGGTTACTCTTAGCCTCCCAGTCATCATATTCAGTGCTCAGAAACACTTCACCACTGATTGTGGGAAGTGGAGGTCTCTGGAGCCTCTTCTGAGTGGATCGTTTCCTTTCATGCTGCTGACTGTTCATTTGGGGATTGTCCCTCATTGTGCCCCAGCTAGAGGATGACAGAGATCTCTCTGATGAACAATGCTGTTCTGGCTCTTCCAAGTTCTCCAGTGGATGTTCTGGTTTCTCCTTCTTCTGCTTCACAGTCTTTCCATCTCTTTGGAGTCTACAAGGTCTTGAGAATCCAGAACCCAATTCCCTGGCCCTCCTTGACCTTGATTGGTCTGAGTGGAGGCAGAGGAGTGTGAAAAATAAAAATGCAAATTAATTTAATGAGAGTATGAACTCATTACACGGGGGAGAGTCTGGGCCCCAGTTTAGGACACTTTAAAAATGGAGAAAACTGCTTTTTCGAATTAATAAATTGAGAAGAGGGGATGAGAATTACTGAAACAGTCCATGCATACCTGAAGAATTCTGGACACACAGCCAAAAAGGTAAGAAACTAAAATTAAGCGAATCAAATGTGAAAGAAGAACTTGATCATGACTAGGTATACCTAACAATACTTTAATATTTGCCAGTTAACAAAAATTATAGCTATTAGAGATTAAGTTATATTCATAAACCAATTTGAAACTAGTATAGAATAAAAAGTAGAGGTGGAGTAATCTTGTAAAACAAAAAAATTAAGCTTTGTAATTTTAGACAGAGGCTTTCAAACATTCTTATTGGAAATGCCAACAGAACTATATCAGAGTATTGCTAGTTTCTCTGAGTTCAGAGAAATGATCCACAGATTTTTATATTCCTCTATTTGCCAACTTTATGTGGTCAGAGCAAACATACTCAGTCACTTCAGAAAACAGCCCTCTATTACAATTCAATGTAAAAGAGGATCAAGTAGACAAGAACTTTGGAGTTCATGACCCTATTATCTTTAGATAACTCTTTTCTCAATCTTAGTTGAAACTTGACAAGGAAAAAATTTAAAAGGGTTGCCCTGATGGAACAAAAATTTGTATAAAAATAACAACATATGTTAAATATATGTCCCCAATTTTAACACAAACTTCAAAAACAGCACAGATACAGTGCTTATTCAGGTCTTTTTTAGGCACAAGTATACCATAAACACAAAGGCAGCAAATTAATATGCACTTTGCAAGAATATACTGATCTTAACATTTTCTAGAACTTTTTACTATGTTTCTGAAATAACAAAAAAATTCCACTTCCATGGAAAATTGCTAAAATAGCCAAGATTCCCCACTGGAATCAACCACTTGCTGAATGCATTTGAAAGAGCTACCATAAGTTGAAGAGATGTAAAGAAAATAAAAAACTTACAGGTTTTCTTTCTGTTTCATTTGATACTAACCTGATAAAGGAATAGAGCAAGAAAGAAATATGTGCTAAATGTTCCAATGATGCCATAAGTTTCCATTAAAAACCTCAAATTCTTTCCTCTTGAGCTTTCCAGAAGAAAGCTTGCTTCCAAAGATAAATCTAAATTAAAATTTGTTTTCTCAATAGTCTGTAGAAGTATTTATCTTCATCGTTGTGTTTTACATAAAATCAAAAGTGAAACAGAACAATTACCCTATGATAAAAAAATAATCCACTCTTTTAAGCAGACTATTAAGCCTGTCATGAAAACTGAGAAAGAATCAAGTGACTACTGCTGTAACTTAATATAATAAAGACCAGCTACCTAAATGATGACCATATCCAGGGAACAATGGTTTACAGTGTTACCAAAAATGTGCTCACTTAGAATTGCAGAAGTGAAGTCCACCTTCTAGCTCAAAAGACACAAAATGGTTTGGGTTCTGACAGTGAATTTGTGATGTTATGATTTTTAATTCCTTCTAAATAATTAATATTCATATTTTTACTTTTAGGAAACATGTTGCAGGAATTATTACAGAGCTGTTTCTACATTTTCACAGAACTGGCTGGAAAAATTTATTCTCTAATAATAAATGTGTCTGCTGTGACAGCTTTAAATCTTGGGACAAAAAAGATGAGGTGGGGAATCTGTCTGAATGCTTTAAAATCACATATAGTTGATTGAGACTTGTATGCTTCTTGAGACCAAGTTACTTGGCAAATATAACTTACTCCATCACTGCCAATACATATATATGTATTATGTATTGCATATACATAATATGTATACATAATATATGCCAATACATAATACATATATATGTATACACACACATACACACACATATATATATATCTGCATTTTATGTGTGCCTCCATGTTTGGCTTTCAAAGTAAGATAGAAATGCAAAATATTACATTATACACATATAACATTGATATATGTATAAACAGTAAGCACTTCACCAAAATTGAATTATTTGATCTTCTCAACATCCAAATGAAGGATTTACTTTTGTAATCTCCATTTTAATTATTTAGTACATAACTTCATTAAAATTAATATTGTTCTAAGGAAGGGAGAGGACTTGAACCAGTCTTATGACTCTAAACACCATGACTTTAAAAAAATTACTAATATGACTGCAATAAGAGGCTTTGAAAGAAAAACATGGATTCACTAATAAGTAATATTTATCATTTAAGAGCTGATATAAATTTGACGAATGTTTTACACAATTTCAAATTTGTAGAAAACCTATAATCATTCTAATAGATAACGTATTAAAGTTCAAGTTACATAAAAGCTGAAATATTGGCCATTTCTATAATGATGTACTGTGATTACTATGCAAGTAAGGCAAAAATCAAGTAGATACACAAAGACATGCAGAGAAGTATAATTAAAGAATATCCCAGATGTGTTGGGAAAGGACCAGTGCAAAGAACAGAGGATTGCTTTGTAAATATGAGCTCAACTGTAATATAGTTTCTGTGGAACTGAACTTGGTCTAACACAAGGGCATATTAATGAGGACCCCACCTTCAACAATATACAATCTCCCAACAACACAGCTGAGGCAACAGAAATTCCAGTATTTACACACATGTGCTCAAGAGGTCACCATTTCCTGTTCCTCAATACTACCTTCAAAGTCCCTCTCTCCCCAAAGAAACAAGCATATATGCCACTCTCTACAAATTTATCAGAGTAATTAAAATAAACATAAAATACTTTGAAAAACTTTTATGTGTTCCTGAAAAACCATTGAATTCTTAACATAGTCTCCTGCCCTAGAGAAACAAGTCAGGATGATAGTACTCTGGTCAAAAAAACAGGTTTGAGTCTCAATTCAAGTCAGCATAAGGCTTTAAGAGGGGAAGGCTAAAATTAATTCTTTAATGCATTTAATTACTTGTCATCCTAATATTTTTATATTTTGAATAGTTTAAAATAGTAACATTTACAGTGAATATATCTCCAAAGCAGAACTTTTTAAAAAGGGGAAAAAAACTAGACCACATTTCTAGATTTTACATTGAAGCTGAAGAGCAACACTTTACTTTCTGATCTTTAGTACAGCAAAATGTGGCGATAATTTTTCTTTTTAAATGACATAATTTATAGTTTCATCAGATAAACCAGCATAAAGAAAATGGCTATCAAAAAAGTGCTGAGTGTTTTACATATGGAAGAAGAACACATCAAGCAATAAATGGAGAATCAGCCTGCTTACTAGAAAGGCCACGGAGCTGAGCTCTACTGATTAAGGTAAATTTAGAGCAAAAAATGTTACTGGGCAAAATTATACTCAAACTATAATAATCCCATCAATATACACTGCTTTCATTCTACTCACTAGAGAAACACATACTTACCTTTTATAATGGAATTACAGAAAAGCAGCTGACAACTGGTTTGCAAGGCCCTTTAAGATCACTGACCTAACTCTAAAAGTTGCCTTTAGGTTTTGTTCACTTGTTATCCTAAGTATTGGTCTTTAAGCTGAATTTAATTAAATACTGACACTTGTAACCATAGGAAAAAGTCTTGTCTTTGACAGATCTTTGAGAAGGACTGAACAATACTTGCAAATACTCATTTCCCAACACATTTTTAAGATAAAGAATCACCACAGCTGCCACCACATCACCATCACCACACTGCAAAGCAGGCACCAGAGAAGCAAACCTGAGGGAATTACTCCTTCAGAAATTATTCTATATGGTAATCAAATAGCAAAGAAAGGATCAAAAAGAAAAAATAAACATGGAAATCTTAAAATTTAATATTGTTTGTCATCAGTAGGCTAAACCATTGGCCTAGGTTTAAAAGACAAGAAAGCATAGAAAAAAACTTTGTTACCCAGGAACTGATGCATGGTATACCTTCTTTATTCATACAACTTTGCTGCTTCAAACAGTACTGCCCAGACTTCTTGAGAAAGCTTAAGTCCAGAGACTCATCCACCATTTTCCACACCCCATTTTTATGTGCTTAGAATATACTAAGTCATTCCAAGTCATTAAAGTTTAAAAAAATGTATGCCAATTCTTACAAAATCATATTCAAATTTTAAGTCATAAAAGTGGCTCTGGTTGTCCAATTAAAGAACGGATAAGGCCGAGAGTGGTGGTTATGCCTGTAATCCCAGCACTTTTGGAAGGTGATGCAAGTGGATAACTTGACGTCAGGAGTTCAAGACCAGCCTGGCCATCATGGTGAAACCTCATCTCTACTAAAAATACAAAAATTAGCCAGGCATGGTGGCACATGCCTGTAATTCTAGCTACTTGGGAGGCTGAAGCAGAAGAACTGCTTGAGACCAGGAGGCAGAGGTTGCACTGAGCCAAGATCACACCACTGCACTGCAGCCTGGGCAACAGAGCAAGGCTCCATATTCTGTCTCACACACACACGAATTTATTAGATTCAAAAAGAATCTTGTCATGTATCTAAATGTACCCAGTGCCTGGGGATAAGAGAAACATTCCCAGGTCTCTAAGGTCACTTTATGGACAAAATTAAAGGAGTGTTTTATGGTTGAGTCTAAGGATAGAACAGATCATGATGCAGGAATTGTTACCTCCATCTTCGTAACAGTAACTATCTGCATAAGCATGGGTTGCAGGAAACTCTGGAAAGTGCTTCTTTCGCTTTTTATCTTCCTGTAATTCCTTTTCTTGCAAAAGACGAGCTATGTCCTGCAAAGACAAGAGAGAATGGAAATATGCATTACCAAAGAACGAACTAACTCCATATGGTAGGGGCTTGACATTTCACTGTCAAGTCTGTATGTGCTCTGTCCATGGCTCTCTAGACTTTCTGACATTAATTTCATGCTCTTCAAATGCCAGATGATTGCTCAACAGGAGTGGCACATGATCTAGATAAGTGAGAGAGGCTTTTTTTTTTTAATTGAAATTTAAATCCAACACAATACAAACCCATACAAACTTCAGTACTTCCTAAAACAGGTTACACAACAGAATTTTTAAAAAATACATATTTGTGGGCCCTTTTTCAAGCTGATGATTCACTAAGTCTAGATGGGGCAGGATATAGTAATCTACAAAACTTTACAAATTATAATTTAATTTTAAAACTTTTGAAAAGAATTTTATGGGAAATTTGATTTAGCTTTGCATTAGAATGCCACTGTCTTAACTGAAAAAGAGAAAACAGTCTTCCTTCTGTCTCCCACTTGCTCATCCCCAGGCAAAATTTTAGCAGTTATTAAATGAGAGGCACTGTGAGGGATAGAATGATGAATAACATTCCATAATGTTCCCAAAAAAGATGATCACCCCTTTATGAAAACAAAAATTTAATAGAAACTTTTCAAAAGAAAACATAACTACAATAAAATTAAATTCTAAATGCCTCAAAAAGGTTAAAATGTCCATGGGACTACAAAAGAAGGAATATTATTTTTGCTTAAAGGAATTAGTACAAGATTTGGCATTGTATTAGGCTTTGAACAAAGAACTGAATTCCAATAGGCAATGTCGAAAAAGAAAACATCAGCGAAGTTATGAACATTTTAATGGGCACCTATCTAAGGAACAGCCAATAGTTCAATTACAACATAAGATACGGAGTGTTGTAGAAAAAGCTGAGGCTAGAAAAACAATCTAAGGCTGGATCACAGGAACTCCTTTTAGACAATCTTAAGAAGTCTGCAATCTACAAGGTAGGGGAAGAAGGGTTACTAAAGGTTTTGAGCTGCATGGTAACAATGTTCTAAATCTGAAGATTATTTCTAGGAAAGCCCGATAAAATAGCCTATAAACTTAAATGCTCACGTATACTTTTAAGGAGAGAAGTCTATCATTATCATCAGATTCTTAAAGGCTCATATAAATATGGGAACAATACTCACTGATACAAATGTTAATAACAATTATTGGTAGTTTGAGGTACCTACTTCTTTATATTGACCATTAATAAGGAATACAAGAAGTACTACATGTTAATGTTGTAACTTTAAAGCAATAATTACTATTCTCCTTCAAATTTTATAAGTCCAAATGAAGAATACACTAAGACGGCAATATACAGCTTAAAAAGAAAATTTAAGTTAATCAATTTTTTTTTTTGTATCTGTGCAGAAACAAGTTGTACACTGAATCTAGGTAAGTTAGCAGTATTTAGCCATATCCTCAGCTGTTTTTTACTATTCATCAAAATAGCCTTACAAATCTGACTTTATGCCAAATACTAACTTAAAATGTACCATTAATACACTTTTACCTGACACATATATACATTTCTTAACAAATAATCTATGTAAATGCCCACGCAATAGTGTCAGACACTAAAGTGGGCACTCACAAAATGTTGCAACTCAGAATGAAAGGTAAAATATAATCCTACTTAACACAAGTATACTTTTCATGAAAAGAACTTTGAATTTCTAAGACTTTGATGGAAAAACTATCCCCGAATCTGAAAGTTAAAATCAATCTCTTTTCCATTTCAAGTCGGCTGTGGTTTAAAGAGACACTGGGAGAGAAATAGCCACTACTAATATGAATTTGAGAGGAATTTCAATTCTCTATCTGTACAATGGGAAGTCTGAACTATTCAATCTTTAAAAAAGCCAAATGTCTTTGACTCCTTAATGTATCATTTTAACAAACCTGTATCTACCAGGTGCCAGTCCCTGTGCCAGATTCTTTAGCTTTGATGTTTTACAAAGTAATGTATCAATCAGGAAGAGAGAAAAGAACGGGACAGACAGCCTATTCTCCAAAAAACTATTATTTGTTACAGAAGAATTTCCCAAATTTCTATAACGTTTACTACATAAGTAGAAAGAAATGTAAACATTCTCCTGAGCTGTATGTTTACTAAGCACCTAAAACTATATTTTCCTAAGTGGTCTGCTTCACAGTAAACAAAAATTTCCCCTGCTATAACTGAGGAAAAAAAATAAAGGAAAACTATCAGATCCACCTTCCAGCAGTAATTACTGAACTATGCTCCACAGACCTGGTAAACATAGCTTTATTAAAATGATACAGTAAGGAGTCAAAGACATTTAGCTTTAAGACTGAATAGTTCAAACCTTCCATTGTACAGATAAACAATTGAAGCTTCCTCCAAAGCTCATATTAGAAGTGACTATTTCTCTCCAGTTTCTCTTAAAACCATGTCTGACTTGCACTGTAAGAGAAAAGAGATTCATTTTAACTTTCAGATTTAGGGGACAGTTTTTCCATCAAAGTCTTAGAAATTCACAGTTCTACTGATATAATTGCTCATAACTGTTTTCCTGCTACTGAATTTAATTCTAATGGATGCACAGTAATACACCATTCTCTCTGTGTAAAAAACCAGGAGAGAAAAATGAATTATGACCCTTCTTTATAATTTATTAGTCAAAGAAAGTGCTTTTAATCAAGTAAAAAAATAATAATTGCCATAATATATCATGCACCTTAGCACCCAAACCTTTTTGCTCTTCTAAGCTCTCAGCTCTTTTCTGAAAGAAAAGGTCTGCTAGGCTTGAGGAAGGAAAGGACAAAAATTTAGTGGAAAACTGCCACTATATTATAGCTGAAGTTTAGTACAAGTCCGTTCTCCCTGCTTTCCAACATTACTATGCAATGAGATCTGTTAGATAATTTTAATATAAAGTAAATTCCCCTGAAACAAGCTAAAGACAGCAATTATTAGTTACAGTACTTGGATGTAGCTAACCAGCTTAGTCACCTTTGACATAAACAATCTCCTTGGTCCTCAGCTTCTTACTGTTAATGGTGCTTCCTTACTGTTAATGGTAAGTCTAGAGCAGCACTTCCCAAGCCTGTTGCTGAGAACACTGGTGTCAAAACTTTCTCCAAAAAAAACACACCTTTCAATAGAAAGCATGTAGCATATCTAACTCTTTAAGATGCACATTAGCAAATTTTAAAACTTTGATTAAAGAAAAAAAAAACACCTGTTATCTTCCTATAACCTATAATTTTCCAAATTTATTTTAGAAGCTTTTGTTTACATTTTTAAAAAACTCAGGTAATTAATGTTCTACATAACATAACTTGGGAAAACAAATCTAAATGAACTCTTAAGCCTTTTTAAGGTCATTGTTAGTTATATTTTAATTAATGAGATAGACTTCTGGGCTAATATGTAAAAATAACCCTGTTCCACAGAAGACTTCCTAGTAAATACGTTAATTGAAATGGGAGTTTACCATCGTATCTGACCTTTCTCTTCTGTTACCCAAGCTTATACAACTCTGGAAAATTGGAAACTATACCCATAAGAAAGGGAACAGTTAAGGATCTCTGGAATACTAGAGAAAGGCAATTTTAATGAAAACATAGACTTAGTGATTCCCTTCAGTGGGCCAGACATGTGCCCTGTGCCAGATTCTTTAGCTTTAAAGAACAGTGCTATGACCAGTAGGGGATTGGTATATAGGGAAATATCCTTAAAGTTCTTATCTTGCTGTGGCTCTAAGAGAAGCATTAATACAAACAAGGTGCAGCGGCACCCAGAGGATCCCCGCACATCTTTCCCAAGTAGATGACAAATGACTGAAACATGGTGTTGAGTTCTTTGAGGTATTTTGGGGGTTTACAGGTTGAGTGAGCATCCCTAATCCAAAAATCTGAAATCTGAAATGCTCCAAAATCTGAAATTTTCTGAAGCACAGACATGATGCTCAAAGAAAATGCTCACTGGAACATTTTGGATTTTGGAGTTGCGGATGATCAACCTGTACATGATTTAGATCATATAAGTATGTAGGGGATTAAGGGTTACGTCTCAAAGTTTTCACCTCTATCCTCCAATGGTACTGCATTTTAAAAAGAGGAAATGTTGAATTTAAAAACAATCAAAAGGTGATTTAAAAAATGTGATTGTCGCCATTGGTACGGTGTAATCCCAGCACTTTAGGAGGCCAAGGTGGGCAGATCCCCTGAGGTTGGGAGTTCGAGACCAGCCTGACCAACATGCTGAAACCCCGTCTCTACTAAAAATACAAAAAATTAGCCAGGCATGGTGGCAGGTGCCAGTAATCCCAGATACTTGGGAAGTTGAGGCAGGGGAATTGCTTGAACCCAGGAGGTGGAGGATGCAGTGAGCTGAGATCACGCCATTGCACTCCGGCCTGGGCAACAAGAGCAAAACCCTGTCTCAAAAA